AGTGGTCTGAACCAAGAATACATGTTAGAAACATCTGGGGAGCCTCAAACTAAAGCTAAGGTCCTGATGTGCCAGACAACCAGATAATCCAAATCAGAATGGGAAGGTAGAGTGGCTGGGCATTAGTATTCTTAAGTGCATCCTAATGCAATCACCTTGGGCTTGAGTTGAAGAATCACTGCTTTAGGCCTCAATGTAGTACCATGACCTATATAACTGACTCATCTGGAAAGCCAGGAGTGTTAGGAAATGTTTTTTGGGCTCAACAAAACACATAATTTTCCTGTCTAACTATATTCTTTTGCTGTGGTTTGGATCCAATGCAGGACTTTATGAATGATAGGCATGTGTTCTACCACTTAGCTACATCCTCAGCTGTATTTTGTATTTTGGCACATGTTACCAAACCTTTCTATCCCTCCTTCCCCTTCTACCTCCTAGTCTCTAGTGACTCTTATTCTAAACCTCTGTTCTATGACCTGAAGATTCCCAACACATAGAAATGATCAATGTTTGAGGAGATGGAAATGTTAATTATGTGATGCGATCATTATACATTATATTCATGTATTGAATTATTATAATCCACACCATAAATATGCACAAATATTTTGTACCAATTAAAAATAAAAATAAAAACATCCAACCCTTCAGGGAACTCGTTGAAGAACCAGCAGAAGACTTCTTGGTTTTGTCTCCTTTCAATGCCTCCATTTTCAGGTGGAGTCTGAGAATCAAGACTGAAGCCTTAACAATTATTGTTTAAAAATTTCTAATAGGGTCTAAGGGTGTAAGTAGCAGGCAACTGCAGTGTGGATTTCTCATACAAGAAATCCACAGCCTTTGAAGGGAAATAAGCTTCCTTTTAATATTTCGTTTCTTCAAGATTCCCCAAATTGATCCCTGACTCATGGAGATCAAGAAGGAAAAGTGAGACATTTTTATGTTAACACATTTATTATACCCATCAGTATCCTCATGAGTGCCCCCATCACTGGGAAACACAAAGTGCCATAGAACCATAACACCAGTTACAGTTAAGCAATTTTATTTTTAGTGGAATTTGTCTCTCTAATTGTGACTACCTGCATGTAGAGGATGCATTTGGGCTGGTTGTAAGATTTTGAATTCTCTCTGTTAGATGTATAAATTAAGAAAAATACATTTAATAAAGCAATAAAAGAAAACTTTCCTGATTTCTATCTTACACTTCCATGACTGCATTGAGAAAAAGAGAGGGATTATAGAAAGAACTGTTTAGAAACAGCACTCGTGGTTTGAATATGATTTGTTTCCAGAATTCATACAGAAGTTTAATCCCCAAAGTCATATGTTAGTAGTATTAAGAGGGCAGAAACTTAATCTGACTCTGGTGTTTAGAGGTCAGGCATTTGGGAGATGAATTAGGATTAGAAAAAGTCAGTAGGGGGGAACTCCCATCATTGGATCCTGGTACCTATGAGGAGACAAACAAAGACACACATATTCAAACTTGTGTTCTCTGTCTTTTTCCATGTGATACATTTCACTGCTTTGGGATTCTATCAGGTTTAGAACAGTAGCTCTCAAAGTGGGTCTCAGACCAGCAGCAATTAATATCTGGGAGTTGATGAGAAATGCAAAATCTTGGGCCTATTCCTAGATCTACAGCTGTGAAGCCCAGAAATCTGTATTTTAGTAAGTCTCCAAGCAATTCTGAAGCACACAAAAGACTGATTTAGATGAAAAGATCGTAAATGCAGGTAAACATTTTTTTTTCATAGATGAAGTTAGGTAGAATATGTAAGCAACTGGAAAGAACAATTTCACCTGCTATAACAATCAATTTTTAGATGTTGGAATTGGTATATCAGAAACCTATAACCACACACAAAATAAATTCTACTAAGAATGAAGCATGAGGCATTTTATTCCAAACCCATTGGTGGTGAGAGCCACAATAACTAAGGAGTGTAGTAGTTCAGTATCTCACATTTGAAAAATAAATCATCTTTCATCAATCATGACACAGATGAAATATTTGGCATATCTCAAAAAGAAAGGTATGGAACTGATCATTTTATCTTCTAAAAGCACTCAGAAATATTAACTTTATGCTGAAAGCACCTTTCATACACAGCACATTTCTTTTTTAGCAAAGACCACTAGACATGGCCCAGAAGCACCCAAAAAGCAATTGCAGGGATTCTGAAATTCCTCATCACATTTCACTCCCAAGCTTTGTGTGCAGTTTTCTGGAATCAGTCACTGAAATGATTATCTCAGTAAATCAGAAGATGTAACATCACCACATTCAGCTTTTGATAAGTAGGATAAGTTGGAAGTTAAATGAAAAAGAATTTTAATGTATAGAAACTTAATGTATATATGCATGCTTATGTAAATTAATTCAAGTAGAAAAATTCTTCAATGGCATACATATCAAAATCATAGTCTTAAATCTTCCTTTCCTCTTCCCTGTTGCAAAAATACAGACCAAAAATAAGATGGGTACTCACTATGTTTAAAATCTCTACAACTTGGCAAGAATGTTTGCTATATTGAGGTTTAGTAAAACCTAACAAGATTACTGGGTATAAATGCCTGGAGTGCAACAGTAAGTCATCTGAAAAATGGTGCAGTTTTATTACTCTGCCCTATGTTCTGAATGAAACAAAAATTTCCATGTGAAATCAGTTCTGGGCCACGGAATAATTTATTTTATGTGCACTGCTAATCTCCCCTCCATGGCCTTGGTTCCCGACTTCTTCAGCATCTCAGCAATGCCTGCATCTCTGGATGATGATGCAATAGAGAACTTTTTATTTGTCAGAGAAAAGCTTGTTGGATTCACCTCATTCCTGTAGTTGTATGATAAAAACAGTTGGATATTTAGGAAAATTTCAAAGATCTATTGGATTTTTTTTCCTGCAGTTTTGGTATACAGTTTTGGTATAAGACAGCTGTGTGTGTGTGTGTGTGTGTGTGTGTGTGTGTGTGTGTGTGTGTGTGTTCAGCAGCAATCCAGAAATTATCAAAATAAACGAGACATTAATTATTATGAAGTTTACATAAAATCCTGAATGGAAATGGCCCATCTGTTTCAAAAATTGATCAAAATGGGTCAGAGCCATTGGTCGAGTATCCTATTAATGAGATAATTATCCCATTTTGATAAGGCAAAAATAAGTCCTGAGAAAAGTACCTGTATCTTCATTACCAATTTCCCAACTCTTTTCCCCAACAATCTGAATGTATCCATGAACAATTAGGCAAAGCTTAAATGCCATATTTGATTACAGTTATTGCAATTGGATGTCCTTCCTGTTTTGTACCATAATTTGAAATCTGTCTGGACTTTACATTATCATTCTCTGTCCCCTTAAAACATTTAGCTTTACTTTGAAGCTTAAGTGCTTAAAATCAGTTCAAACTTACTGTTTGGGATATACAGAGTCTCAAATCCCCAGTATGCAAATTCATGACTGTAAACTCTTAAGTGTTTGTAGCAAGAGACTTAGGAAAGCATAATCGACTTCATCCTCCTCTCCTCTATCTTGTCTTTTTGGAAGTAAGTATGTAGCTACAAAACATGTACCTATAAAAGCACCCATCCTTAAAAGGGTAAGATGAGCACTTTCCTTTTCAAAGAAGCAGAAGCTCATTCTAGTGTGCCTGGAATTATCTCCATGTTGTGGCCTCTTGATGTATCTGAGGCTGCCTGAGGGCATATGTGCTGGTCCTGACCGGAGGCAAGCCAGGGACAGGTTGGGAATAGTCCATAAGAAAGGAGAACCTTCTCTAGGTACCTCCTAGTGTATATGGGGGTATTGGGTCAACTAAGATATGTTCAGTATGTCAAGGCCATGAGGGGTGTCCAACTGGTATATGAAATCACAGTCTCCAAAGTTAACAAAAATCAGTCATGGTAGAAAATTGCTGTGAGGATCTCTTTAGCGACATTATCAAGTTTGGAATACTGAAAAAAGTTCTTTCTTCAAATCCATCCCAACCCTTCTTAAGTTCCAGCACAGTAGAGGCAGTGAAAATGGTAACATCAGAAATTCTGCATCATGGCTAATTGGAAACCATATTCTCAATCAATAATCCAGGATCTAATTGTGCGTGGTTGAGAGCTGGACAGAAGTATGATTTGCAGATTTCTCAGAAAATGCTTTTTTAAAAAATCAAAGCCTCTGATCAAATGTCTTTGCTTAAAACTAAGTACAACTAAGTAAAACTATTCCAACAAAATATTTAATATGAATACATAATGCTTTTATAAGCACCAATTAGCATAATGAAACACCCTAACCTGTGTTAAGGGTTGTATTCGTAGGATACACAAATATGGCAGTAAAATATTCTAAGATATACATGTATGCTCAAAAAAAGGCTAAGTACCTACTATTTTCTCATTCCCTTGGGAATGTATATTTTTGAGCAGTGAACTAAAGTTGGTGTTGTGAATTAGTAGCTATTTTTCTTCTGAGTCCTATAAATCAAGTTCAGGTAGAAACATGGCTTTTTTGCTAATTTTAGATCTGAATAATTATTTCTTGAGTGTCCTGTAGGATCAGAACATGGTTTACTACAACTGTGTGTTACTGTCTCTTTTAAGGAATCAGCTTGTAGGGGTTCTTAACTTTCACAATTAAAAACTTATAAAATCAGAATGGAGAACTTGACCAGTACGGAATGTCAACATCAAGACTGTAATATTCTTCCTCTCATGTCCATAATGTCAAGTGCTTTCTATAACAGGTAGAGTTCTAGAATTCTATGACAAGACCACAGGCCCAAAGTTCCTTCAAGATTTAGAAAGGACCCATGACTTGCTGCTTCCTTCCTGCAATCTGCCAGATATATGCCAGGCTTGCAGGTGAGTCGCCCTAGAAACAGTAGAAGCACAAATAACTAGCCAAACAGTGATTGCAATCATTTTACCATCATGCATTCTCCTTACTGTAATAACAACATTCCAGGAGAGAAAGTAATACACTGTGCTCAAGGAAGGATATAGAACAGAGAAGTTTATTTTACACTATCCGTCCGAGAAAACAATCGCCATAAACCAGTGCAAAATGTGCAACAGAATCGATAAGTGTGTCTTAGCTCTGAGACCCAAATTGGTGATCTCCTTTCCTGGTCCTTGGTTGGGCAGGTGCACCCTGGGCTAATGCCACCCTTGGTTTGCACCTCAGACAGAAACAGTCGACCAATTTGTAGCAGGTTATTTTTACAATTCATACCAGAATGTGTACAAGGGACTGGGAAAACCATACCAAATGAATGATAAGTGATCAGTGCTTAAAGTAAATACAAGGAACAGCACGGGCGGGCAATAATCCACAGTTTCAATAAATACAAGTGTAACAAGCATGGGTGTGTCTCAATTCGGTGGAACTAATCTGCATAATAATTCAGCATCATACAAAATCTAGCAGGGCTGTTGAGCAGTGATTGGCAAAATGTTCACAATAACTTATGCCCTTGAGCGAGTCTGTGGTTAACACACTCTGTGGTTTCCAAGGTGTCAGTTTTCTGCTTTCTCCTTCCATGGTCATCCCTCTGGGAGGGAGGGGTGGAGCTGGGCCAGCTTGGTGGTGGCATCCCATGAGGAACGACATTTGCCCAAGAGCCAGCCATCAGGGTCCAGTGTACTCAATACCAAGTGGCAAATTGGGACTTAATTGACGACATCTGTGCAAAATGCGCTTCTCTCCATTTTCCAAGAAACCAGTGTCTGTAATTCCTGCCTGGAAAGCAGTAGTGGCCTATGGGTCACTCCCTGTCACCCCAAATACCAAGCAACAAGAGCACATCTCAAGTACTCACAGACTGGGAAGCTTCTGTCAATGACTGCCTGGCATCTTGAGAATGGACAGTTAACCAGGACCCCTTAGTCAAAGGCCTCAGGCAGGCTAGAGCTATTGCTTGAAAAACTAGAAAGAACCTAGTGAGAAAGAGATGGTCATAGTGAACATGTGGGAAGTGGGTTTTCTTCCTCCAACACCTTGTGCCGCTCACCCCCACCCCCCAGGTGCAGGACATTCACGAGGTGTCCTTGGGCAGAAAAAATGCCATGCATTTGTTCATGGTGACCTCACCCAGTGGACTAAGCTCTTCCTCTATACACACTCCAATATGCCTGGGGTTCACCCCCAGGAGACAAAGCAGTACAACCTGCAGATCGTCAACTAAGCCAGAGCCCAGTGAAAGAAGACGCAAGAGAAGTACTCCAACTCTGGAAGAAAAGTAACAAAAGAGGGAGCCCCCCCCGCAAAATAAAACCCCCAAACCCAGTAACCTAGGAATCACCTCCAAACAAAACAGAATCCCAAACACTCCGCTATCAGTGGACCCTCTCTTCTCTATTTCTTCAACAGTCTCAGGTCATAAATTAGGGTAGTCTTCCATCAAATAACTTAAAAAAGGAGGTGGGATTGTAGTAAGTTGTGCCTGGCTTGGGCCAGTTAGCAGCCAGTTTTGTTCTAGAATCTCAGTCACTGTTCAAAAATGGAGCTTGAAAATTCATGTAGATGTTGGATGTCTTCACGTGGAGGAGGCAGGGAAGAAAGGGCGGGCAGGTAAAAGGGGCTGGGCAGGAGGTAGGACCAAAGAGATGGGGCATGAGGGAGGTGGCAGGGAGAGCCTGGGCCACCAGGACAGGAGCGGAGGCCTGTGGACAGCACGAGAGAGACGGACGCCATGGCCCTGGGGGCCCACGTGACTCAGGGTGCGACCAGGTCTCGTATTGCACAGAAAAGAAGGAACTGGGCCTCTGCAGGTGGCCCAGCAGATCAGTGGTCCCCACACATGGGCAAGTTCACAAAGGTGAACACGTTGAACTCCGTCATGATGGAGAAGCATAAGAACACGCCATACAGGAAGAGGCACCCACACCCTAGCTTCTTGTCCAGCTGCCACTTGTTCAGGTGAACGCCAAACACCTGAAACACACAGAATGCGTCAGAGTGCACCAATGGGGTGACCAGAATTGGGGCTGTGGGTGGTGGACCTTGGAAAACCTGCAAAATCCATGTCACAGATGGAGGAAGGTAGGAACATTAAGAAGAGAGGAAGCCAGCACATGCAGGTGGTGGAGAAGCACCTTAAAAAGTAAAAATGACAGGACCAACAAAGAGAGCTATCCAGGTCAATGACTGAACTCCAGTCCAGACTCTTCTGTGTGCAGCACCTGTGCCAGCCTCCTGTATCCTGCCCTAACAGGCCCTGGTTCACCACCAGGATACCAGCCTCTTTGTGTCAGGTGGTAGCCCAGTCCTGCAGGTAGCCCTCTAATATGCATGAATCTTTTCCCATTGTTGTACCTGGAAGTGACAAAATTGTCCTCATCTTCATTGCTGCTTCCAAACCACTATCCTTTCCTCCCTAAAAACACTCAGCATGGAATCTCAAGTCTTCAAGAGCTTCTCAAGAAGCTCTCCGTCACTTCTCTTGCTTTCTGCCTGCCCTTCTGAATGCGTATGTACAGTAAAAATATCTTTGGAACATTAAGGACAAAACAGTGCATTTCAACACTTATCACTGTGAAAATTCAATGGAATACTTGCATGGTAACAGAAAGTTTATGTGAGTCAGTCCATGTATTGATGTGAATTTGTTTCTACCAAACATGTCAGTAGAGTTGGGAATATTAACTTACAAAAATGGATGTATTGGCTCAGGTAGTGAGTGGAATGGGATAAAAGTACATTGTCAATAAAATATATTCTTAGTCTCTGAGTATTGGCTAAATCTGTGGATTCATGGATGTGTTTTGCAACCTAATAATCAATTATTATAATCTACCTCTTCAATGGCTCATCTTGCACAAAAGTGAGACGTCTCCCTTCTCTTCCCTTCCCTTCCCTTCCTTCCTTCATTTCTTCCTTCCTTCATTCCTCCTTCCCTCCCTCTTTCTCTTTCTCTTTTCTTTTGCTGTTGCTGGAGATCCAATTCAGAGCTTTATACCTGCTAGGCAAGTGCTCTACCACTGAGCTATAGCCCTGGCCTCCTCTTTACTTTTGACAAAACATTTTAAGTTTGTTATATGAGGCAGGACCATGCTTCTGAGAAGAGGGCTGGCTCCTTTCAGACAGGGAGGAGTAATTCCAGTGGGTTGCTAGGATCCTTTTTTAGAAGAAACAGCCAAGAGACAGCACATCTGGATGTCTATTGTCTCCATTCACCAGGAGACCAAACTCATCTAGTCCCCAAAGAACCCAGGGGGAAGGAAGAACATGTGAACTCAAGAATGGAAAGAAAGCTGCAAACCTACCGTGACAAAGACAGAGGCCAGGAGCAAGCCCACAGAGTAAATCAGCCCTCTGCTATTCAGTCGAATCTATAAGAAAGGATTGAACAGAGTTAGGTTTCTGGAAAGGGCACCTGCTTAGTGTAGGGCACTCACGCAACTCTCAGGGATTCCGACTCTCTCCTCTAGGATGGAAAAAAAGGCAACAGCCTTGGTAGCTGTACTTGGGATGCATGTCCTAGAAATGTGTTCTTGTCACTGTCTTGTCCATTCTCAGCCCAATTCTGTCCTTACCTTCAGCCTCAGTCCCCCAGCTGAACCACCCAAGGCCACTTAAATTCTCATCATGTGTATTTTTGTTCTTTGCAAAATGGTTCCATCGAGGTGACCTCCAGAAAACTTTAGCTTTATCAAACTCATTACTTTTAGGGTAAATTTCTTCAAAGTAGTGATGGGAAAACATGAATATGCTTTTAAAATCTTATTTGCATAAAAATGTGGTTTTTTTCCCCCTGCCTTGCTAGGAAGAGGCAAATGAGATACAATAGAGAACAAACATAGAAGAGGAATGAGTTAAAATTCAATTTCTGGTATTAGCAAAAGGATTTTAGGGGAAAATAAAATGCTGAAGAGAGAGAAAAAGGTTTTGGAGGTTTTTTTGTTTTGGGTTTTTTTTTTTTTTTTTTTTTTTTTTGTGATACCAGGGGTTTGATCTCAAGAACTGATGTTTGTTAGGCAAGCATTCTAGCACCTAAGCCCAGCCCCAATTTTTGGAGTTCTTATAGAACAATGTTGCCCAGTAGGACTTTCTGCAATGATGGAAATGTACTATATCGGTCCTGTTCAAGATGGTACCCATTTGGCAATTGTGGCTGTTCAGTAAAGGAACAAAATGTCTAATCTTGTTTAGTTTTAATTAATTTAAATTGCATTTGAAGAGTCAAATGTGATTTGTGGCTATAAAATTGGGCACAGCAGGTAAAGTGTTAAGGGATTGAGTTGGCCAACAAAAATCATAGAGTTTTTTCCATAGTCTAGAAAGGATATGGCTTTTGTCTTTGGCCAAAATCATGAGGCTTCCCTGAAATGGAAGGGATGCCTGAAAGTAGCAGTTCTCAAAGAGTGGTCCCAGGACCACAGCAGCAGCAGTGTCTCTTGGGAACTTCTTAGAAATGCACCACCTCAGGCCCTGCCCAAACCCACTGAGTCAGCAGTTTTGGGGGGAGTGGGGGGCAGTCCAGCCATCTGTGCTTTAACAGGCCTCCAAATGTTTCTGATGTATCAGAAAGTTTAAGAATTACTAATTTAGGGGAAGAACAAAACCTAAATCCACTTTTGTTGACCTCCAGTGGTTCCGGAGGTAGGACTTCATTTTTTAAAAGTGTTCTCTTGAAATCGCTCATGTGGATTCAAGTGCAGCCCCCCCACCCCCCGACTCCACCCTCACCCTTGACCAATGTACACAGCTGGTCCTAAAGCAAGTAAAAAGCTCAGCCTGTGTACACGGAAAGGGAAAATAAAACGATGGATTTGTCCATTATTTTCTAAGTGGTGATTATGAGTGGGAGTTGTTGGGATCCTTTGACAGTGTGCAAGGTACTGCTTGCCCGCATTTCTTCACTTCACAGTGGGGTGTTTGTATGGGAGCATGGATGTATCACCACAGGTGGGTGTATCAGGTTCAGTTCTTACTGTAGGAACCTAGGGCATAATACTTCTCACAGTAACCAATGCTCTGTCACAGAGGAAATGAGCTGAACTCTTTCCCCCATAATTCACCATCTCTGTGAATCTACTACCTGCTGAACCACAACAGGGATTGGCCTCCAATCACCTTCCTTAGGATTGCCTTCCTAAGATTAAAGGAGGATTCAACTCATATCGCTGTGACATGCAAGCAATGGGTTGATCTTGTTAATTTGGTGCAGAAAATTAGAGGATTGGCCCCATCCCAAACTGACTGGTAGCTGAACTTCTTGTAGACCCTCAACCTGGCTGTGGCTGGATCCCTCCTTTGATCAGCTGAATTGGTATAGAGAAGCCAGTATCCAGGAATGCATTACCATGCATTGTCCTGAAAAAGATTCTCTTTCCATCACGGTGGGGCATATCTGTCATCTCAGCACTTGGGAAGCTGGGGCAGGAGAGAAGATCATGAGTTTGTGGCCAGTCTGTGCTACAGAGCAAAACTCTGTCTTCAACAACAACAGCAATAACAATAACAAAGCTTCTCTCCTCCAAATATACTGTTGACACTGCCTATGATGGTTCCACTTACACCCTGGCCAGTGTTGGAAGTGACAGTTGTTCCTCAGAGCATCATGATGGCCCCTAAACAGAGGGAAGAACTGCCTTCTGGGGCTCTCCTCAGTTGCATTGTCCATGGGTGGCACAGAAACACTGAGACACTATGAACAAACACTCAAATCCTTTGAGCTGTCAATTTTCAATACCATATGGATTGTTTATAGAATAGGGTCAATGTATTCCCAGCCCTGCTTATTCTCTGAGTTCTAGGGTTAAATCCTTGTCACCAACAAAAATTAAGTAAAGTGATTTCTTTCCCCTTAGAAACCAAGGGCCAGTGAGAGTAAAGACCTAAGCAGGAAAATTCTCTCTGGCTAGTCATTTTTCAAGTGAATCATGTTAAACCAAAGCTATTGAATTTTACTCTTCGTACATTCACATAAAGTCACAAAGAACTGTGTTGCTGAAATTCTAAACTTGGCTCTAAAGATGAAAGACAACTAAATCTTTTGTGAAATGTCTGTGGAATTTTCCACGTTCTCACTCCCTTCTCTGCATTCTTCATTTCATAGTGAATTGCTATGTGTTTTGTTTTTTTTTTTCATTGTTAATTAGGGAGCTGGCTTCTAACAGCCTGTATTTATTCCCTGATGTCTGACCCCACACTTTTACACAAACATGGGAGCCAGGAATTAGGGTTCTTTCAGTTGCCTTTTGGTCTAACTTAAACACATCTGCTGGAGACCATGGGTGGTTTGGGGCAGGAGTCAATAAGCTACTATCCTTGGGTCAAATCTGTAAATAAAGTTTTATTAGAACTCAGCTCATTCATTTAAATATTATCTAGAACTACTTTCATTCTACAACATTGCACTTGAGTAGTTTTGACAGAGACTCTTTGGCCCACAAAACTTAAAATGCGTGCTTTCTGGACCTTAAAAAAAAAAAAAAGAAAAAGCAAACAATCTATCAACCCTTGGTTTAGTGCATGGGCTCCAGACTTGGCTTCCTGGATTTTGAATCCCTGATTGATCACTCACCTGCTGTACAGCCTTGGAGAAGTAATGTAAGTTCCTTAAGCCTTGGTTTTCTGAAGCGTAAAAGGGGATTTGACTGTTTTTACTTCATGGATCTGTGAGGGTACTGAATTAACTCACATGAAAGCTCTTGAAAAGGGGCTGGAATGTAGCACATTCTCAGAAAGTATGGGTCATCATTCCCTACCTGCTCAGCAAGTTGCCTTCCCTGGCACACCTGGGTTCTTTTTTATTAACCCATCACCTGTAGCTTTTGGATCAATATCTTATTAGATTACAGACACCAAGAGGACAGGCCCATGCCTGATTTTCCCTCCATAGGCTACATGCTTAACATGAAATTGATGAGTGATAAGGAGTGGCCATGAGGTATCATGTCAAATGTGGCTGGCAAGAAGGCAATTTTCAGTGGACAGTGGGGACTGATCAGAGAGAGGCTGGAAGCAGGAACCCTGGATGTTACTTCCTGCTTAATATTCTAGAAGCAACATGATCTCTACCAAACATTCCCTATCTCCCTTCCCTTTATTTTTTATGAGGCTGTGTGGGCTTTTTTCAAAACCCAAAATATTATTATGAAAGTTTTCAAGAATTCACAGATAGTGTGTATTTCTTCCACAATTTAAAAGCAAAGTGAAAAGAGGTCTACATTGGCTTCTTCTCACCAATAGGATAGGTATTAATAAAGATGCTGAAGTTAACTAGAGACCCTACTCAGTCCTTCATGTCACCATCTCCCACCCCAGAACCCCACTCTATAGTTATGTACTTGGAACTCTTCCAAAGTGGTCCAGTTTGTCTTTCCCACCTCATTCCAGCACCTCATTTCCCTGGCTCCACATTCTGAATGTTTAAATGAGTTTCTGCTGATGATGCTGGATGTATAAGTGTGTGTGTGTGTGTGTGTGTGTGTGTGTGTGTGTGTGTGTGTGTATGTGTGTGTGTTGGGCAGGAGCGAGGCTGGGTGGCAAGGGGCAAGAGTGGAGATTTCATTGGGCAGACAGACCAGGGTGAGGGTTGGCTTAAGAAAGGGGGCAGGCAGCGTGTGCTTTTTGGTTTTAAAACCAAAGCATCAGGTATATCTAGTACCTGAATACAGCAAAACACACAGATCTTAAGTGCACTTACTCTTGAATGAGTTTTGACAAATGCATGTAATCCACACCTCCACAAAAATATAAAATATGTCCATATCCTTCAGGGCAGCAAAACTAGTCTCTTGGGGCCCACTAAGCCAGATGATAACACCAAATCCTTCTCACCTTTGCAAAAAAACCTTTGTGCTCCAACTGGGCACAGTGTTGAGCTAAGTCATTTCCTTGCCCCCGCCTCACAGATGCGAGGCACAAGAAGTGGAAACACAGAAAAATTTCATGGCAATGCTGATCTGAGAGCATGTGAAGCACATCTCAGATTGTTCCATCCTGACATTTAATGTTGTTTTTATTTCTTGTCTTCAGAAATATGCATTTTCACTTTCCAATTCCTTCTTGGCAGTGGTGCAGAGGAAACAGAAGGCTGGCTGCTTCCAAAGTCAACAGGAATGCAGTCCACAGTGCATGCATGTTTTTCAGTATGGATGTGCACATAGAGACCCATTCATAACAAGTTTCATGAAGTCATGTTGCTCGCAAAACAGTTCCCTGAACTCTACTGCATTTGGGGAACCAACACCCCCAGCCTAAAGTATTCTGATTTCCCCCATACAACAGTTTAAAACCTCTCTGTGGTCTGAGGTCAGCTCCACCCAACCAACAAATTCTTTTGGAAAAATAAGAAGCCCCTGGATTTTTTCTAATTTATTTA